CGGATCGTTGGCAAGGGAGTAAGTGCAGCCGCTGGTGCCTGTAAAGCTACCCATCTACAGGCCAGGAAACCGCGTCTTCCTGCTGGGAGGGAAAGCATTCTGGGAGAAGGACAGTTTTCCCATCTCGGGATCTTCCTGGATGCCATTATTGCAGCTGAGGTAGAGCTGCTGGCCCCCCACCCCAGCGTGTTGCACTAATCCGTGTTACACGTATGTCACATGGATCAATGTTACATGTCCGTGTCACCCTGGCCCCGAGGTGGGTCAGGGATACACTGGCCAACCCCAGCTCTCTGCAGGTGGAGGAGGTCGACAAGGGTCTGTTGCAGTTACAGCAGCTGGAGGAGCTCATCCTCAGTGCCAACCAGATCAGCAGGATAACCTCGGCCAACCTGCCGCGGACACTGAAGGTGAGCAAGCGGTTCCTTGTGACAGCAGGATGGGGAAGGAGGTCCCGTCTGGGAACGCAACACGAGCCAAACAGCTCAAGGGAGTGCCAGGAATGGCTCATTGCAAAGGGTTCTGCTTGTTCCCTCTGTCCTGGGCAGGTCCTGGAGCTTTGCTGCAATGCTGTGGCTGATTTGAAGGACCTGTGCACTCAGCCACCTCCAGAGCTGCAGCACTTGGGGCTGGGACACAACAGGCTGTACGGACCTTCGCAGGACAAGTACCTCACTGCCGACTTCTGGTAACGCTCACAGCATGTGAGCTCCTGAAAGGGAGGTGGGCAGATGTGAACAGATGACCTCGAGTCATCGAGGTGGCCCGTGTTAAGAAATTACAGCCCTTCAGTAGGGTTGTTTCTCTGCTCTATGTCTACTGCCCACGCAGAGCGCTGTGTCGCTGTTTGCTGTCTTCCATCTCATGCTCAGAGGGTGTCTTGGCCCATGGCTAAGGTGTAGAATGAGGAGATTGCCAGGGGAACTGCTTCGATACCCTGCCCACCGCAGTTTCTGTGTCCCTGGGCAGCTTCCTTTTTCCGTGCCCTTCCCAAAGCCCCTGCTAAGAGATTCCTCTGGGGAGGACCTAAAGCTTAGGCTGCATCACTGAATGATGCAGTGGGTGGTTAATGGATGCTAAAGGAACGTAGTTTTTAGTTGTGGGACAGACTGGCAGCGGACTGTATGGCTCAGGAATTTGGAATTGGCCTCTTAAAGGCTGCACCGTTGGATTCTCCAGTTTGACCCAGTTTGTGCAGGCAGTTGTGCTGGAGAAACATGATTTTTATTTCTTTTCTTGAGCCAGGTTAGTAGCACTCTATCCTCAGATGGCTGCTGTTTGCCTAACCTTCTTTCTGGGTTGTCTCCTTAGGCCAAATCTTGTCTCCCTTGACCTGAGCTTTAACAGCTTCATGGATCTGCCGAGGCTGGTCTCCCAGCTGTCCAGTCTGCAGAAGCTTCGTGTCCTGGTGCTCCAAGGAAACCCGCTGGCTCTCATTCCCACTTACAGAGGCTTCCTTGTGGACAGCCTGCCCAAGCTCTCCTTCCTTGATGACATCCACATAGGACCTGACGAGAGGCACCAGTTTCACGGTTTGGCGAGGCAGCCAGGTGAGCCCTCGCCTTTGAACCTGTCTGTGCTGACCCTCTGATTCATGAGGTGGTTGCATCGTGGTTGAGCTAGGAGTCCTCAAGGCAATCTCTGGATCCAGTATTGACTTTCTTCTTGCCTCTCCTTAAGTGGAGATCTTTCCCTGTGCCTTTTTACTCCTCTAGTACAAGTGGGGAGACAGGCAGAGGACCTTGCAGCAGTGTAATTACAATCGAGGTAGTTTTAACCTTAATCAGGTCAGAAGATTGCAAGAACAGCCTAGTCCTAGCACTGCCTCAGTGTCATGGCCTGGCCCCATCTTTGCTTCCTAGACACCGTCTGGTTTCAGACTGTGCGTTTCCCTCTTGAGCTGCTGAAAGAGGAACATCTCCACTGAGGAAGATGCTCACATGGGTGCTGTACTGCCAGCACGAAGCGATGCCACCTCTGCGGTGTGGCACATCCCCAACTGTCATGAGGGCAGGGGGCTGGGGACACCCGGGCATGGGAAGCCCTCTCGATGGCCGCTACTCAATGAGTTTATGCACTGGATGTATTCTTTAGAGTCCAAACAGTTAAGCAAGGAGGCGAAGCGACGAAGCCAGGAGATGTTTGTGTGGCTTTGGAGTGACCCCGTGTGGCAGTGGCTTGTCACAGAGCTAGCACAGGGTGCTGGGGAGGGATGCCGGGTGGTGGGACATGGCGTCTGCTTGCTCTGCCCCTTCCTCGCCCTGCAAGGCGCATGCTGCAGCTTCGTAGCAAGATTGTCTTCCTTCTAGAGCTGATCAGGAATGAAGCACGAGTGGTTGTGAGCGTTGGGGAAATCAAGGGAGTCCCTGATCCCAGCGCCCTTCAGCAGCTGGAGGTTGGCTCCGAGGCTCCGGAGATCACCTACAGATACTGTGTGACCTACGAGTTTGTGGAGGGAGAGGACATCGGTGATGGCAGCAGCACTGAGGTTTGTGCGTAACTGAGCTCCTGAAAGCAGCAGGCAGTGGTGGGTCACGGCAAGGGGGACTTCACCTCCAGGCTGCAGAGCGAGACCATTCGTAATGGACCTGGTGTGGGCAGCAGCAGTACTGGGGACAGAATTCACATGTGGCAACATCTGGCAGGACCAAGCGCCTGCTGCCCATATTCCCTGTCCCTCTCGGCGAGCCCAGCGCTGCTCTGCCCGTGGGAGTGCATTCACGGCCCCCCTCCCGCTGCCTGCGGCAGACCCCTTCCCTGGCACTGCCCACGACGAGGGTGGGCTGATGAATGGGATTTCGGAAGCAGCTCTGCCCGCAGCTGCTGATGCACACGCAACCAGACATGCCCTGCCAAGAGATCCCTCTCTGTTCCAGGTAACAAAAATCCACCAGAGTCCCATGGTGGCCACCCTGGGTGTAGACAGCTCTGCTCGGGACACGGGAGAAGAAACCAGCCCACAGCAGCCTGCAGCCACGGAGGAGTCCAAGGCCCACGCTGGTAAGGAGGAATTATAAATCCCCACCCCCGCTGCTCAGGGCAGATTTGTGGCTCTTGCTGGCAGGCGGTAGCATCAGGACATCCCTCACGGCATCTGCTGCAGCTGGGCTGTTGGAGAATAAGTTGGCACTGGTCGTGTCCCAGGGATCTTTCTGTCCTCGGGAAGGAGAAGTCTCTCCTCAGAGCTTTTTTGTGTCCCTGAACAGCAAAGGTGTTTGTCACCCCTGGAAAGCCCTGGGCAGACACCATCGACTGCAGCTACAGGAAGGAGCACACTGCCAAGGACTTAGTGGGGCTGAAGTCCTACCTGGCAGCTGGAACGACTGTCTCGATCGTGGAGGAGAAGGTGAGCGTGTGGCAGAGCTGGGTGAAAGGGGAAAGAGCTGCTGGGAGGCCCAGCAGCGGTATTGTGCTCCCTCTGGGAGGCAGCCCAGGCTGGTAGTGACCCTGGGCTGGGGTCCTCAGGTGTCCTGGCCCATGCAGCACCAGCTCCTCTCTCCCAGCAGGTGCTGTCATGGCCTGTCAATGCTGATCCAGAAGAAAATGCAGTCACGAATAGCAAGGCAGGACGGGGGCTGCAGAAGGACGGTGGAAAGGTAGGGTGTTGGGAGAGAACACTGTCCAAATAACACCTGAGATGCAAAAACAACGATGGGCGAACAAGGGCCCTTCTCCATGGATCAGTTTGGTGTGTCAGAGAATGTCCCCTCCATCCAGAGCTGTCACCAAGGTCCCCCTTTGCTGTGGGAGGAAGCCAGCAGCTGTTTTGCACACATCTTGGTCTGGTGGTGGGCCAGGGGCTGGGCTGGGGTTGCTTGCTGTTGCATTAAGGGACCCCAACCCTCTGCTGAGGCTTGTCCCCACGCTGGTGCCCTGCAGGGTCCTGTGCCCAGGGACAAGAAGAAGAAGAAGAAGGAGAAGCCATGTGAACTCCGCAGTGACCCTCCCATTCGGAGGACCCTGGGCACTGGGAGGGTGACCCTGGAGGCCCTCCTGGCCACCGAGGACCTGGTGGCAACTGTGTGCGACTTTGGGATCCTGATCACTGAGCTACCGCTGCAGCCACCAAGTCTGGAGGAGAAGGTAAGGAGCATGTCCTGAGGCGTGGTGGTGGGGCAGGGCTGGGGCTCAGCGCGTTCTGCCCTGCAGCTGGCCCAGGCATCCCTCCCCTCCATCCCTCCATTCTCCTTTCCGTAAAATGGGGCTGAAATAGCCCTGCCTAAGCACCATCCGTCGCTGCTGGGTTCGTTATTTAATGTTGGTATTAGCAATAAGTACTGCTACTTTTAATGGGCCTAGGAAAACAGATGAGTGTATTTTTCCATTTGAGAATCTGAAAGCAACCACTCCTGCTTCCTCTGATGCTTTCTCTCTCTCGGCATGGCAACATGCGCCAGCTGTACCGACACTTTCTGTCCGAGCAGCCCTGACGCTGTGCTTCTGCTTCCCCACACCTCTTTCCTCTGCCCTTTAAATCCCGATGACAGAACCCGGATGGCGACGGCTGTCACTGGACCGAATGCGGGCAATGAATTTCGACACAGCCTGACTATGGAAACGCTTCTCTCCGCAGGACGGGAAAAAAGGCAAAGACAAGAGCAAAAAAACAAAAGCGGAGAGAGAAAGTCAGGCCAGCCGGAAAACCACGGCGTCTGCCAAAGGTGACGGAGACTGGAGCTGGCTGGGAGGAGGGTGGCAAAGGCGAGAGCAAACACCAGCGGTGCCTGGCCGGGAGGCAGCCGCAGCTCCCCGGCCCCCTGCCAGCTCCGCCGAGCAGGGCGCTTACTCACATCCTGAGCTTCGGGCTGTGAATACACCCATTGACTGCGGGGGCTCTGGGGCGAGACACATGCCCGGACACCTTGTTGAATCGGTGTCTGAACAAGCGCGGAGGGTGGGCTGCCGGCTGTCCTGGGAGCAGCGCATGCCTACCAGCTCTGCGTGCCAGGGGAGAAGGGCAGAGCAGAATTTTGGGTGAGATGTGCTGCCCGCTGTGTCCGCTGCCGAACGTGGCCGGCGGCGCGGGCAGCGGCGGAGATTGCTGTTTGGGGGGCAGAATGAGGTCCTCACCCGTTTCCAGCTTGCATCTCGAAGCACTTTGCAGAGGGAATTACTGTTCTGTCTGGTTCAGAGATGAGATGCACAGAGACCCCCAGGTGCCCCAGGGAACAGACCCGAGTCTGCTGTCATCCATGAAGAGACCACCCCGATCCCTGACAGGTGCCCCCTGTCTCCCCAGCGCAGGGCTCACGTTCTGCTCCGCCAGCGGCGTCGTTTAAACTGCTGGAGGCAAACCTCACCCTGCATCTCGCAGGGTATTTTCCCAGCAATCTTGTTTTGACTACAAAAATAGCGGTGCCAGCGCCTCGGAGGGGTAACGCCAGGGCAGGAGGAAGTGGGGGAGGGAAGGGGTGGCAGGGCGACGCTGAAAAGCTGCTCGTGGATCGAGGGGAGCACGGAGCAGGCCAGGCCTCCCCAGTGCCGCTCGCAGCTGCCGAAGGGACCTCGTGTCCGCACTCTGGCGTCAGATTTAGTCGCTAATTTAAGAATGCAATTAACCCCTTCCCCAAGAGCTCTGGGCTGCTTTTCTGTGCCCCGTCACCCACGGCGAGGTCCCCATCTTTGGGGAGCATCTCCGAGCCCTGCAGTCCTAGGCTGTGTCTGCACTCCAGGCAGCCTGACGGCCTTCCTAGCTACCCGAAAAGAAGAAAAACCTCCTTGAATGACTGTTCCCCAGGAGAAGATGTGCGTTTGCAACGCGTACTCGGACTGCTGCTGAAGCAGGGAGCTGCTGTCAAACAGCTGAAGTTCCGCAGCGCTGCTTTTTACTTCCTTTCCCCCCCAGTGCCTGTGGTCAGTGCTCATGCGGGAGGTCTTCCCCGCAGCGTGAGCGAGAACGAACCCCTTCTGCAGGGGGCTGTGCGGCCGGAGATGGGCGTTGGGCGCACAGAAACCCGCTGCTGACGCAGGAAACCCAGAGCGATTAGAGACAGGTGTTTAATTTGGTGTCCCCTTGCGCCTGTGCAGGTGGAGGCTGGCTGGCCCCCTCCCCAGGCTGCTGCCCGGCGAGTTGTGGATTTCAAAGAGATGGTGCCGAAAAATCCGCTGTGTCCCACCGCTTGCTGCACCCAGCGCCGGCAGCGCCCGCACACGAGCTGTGACTCGTG